GCTTACTGCAGGAAAGGTAAACATGTATTTTTTTTGACAACATATTTGGTGAATTCACAAAGACCTAAATCAGATTAAAGAACTTAAAAGTAACTTGAGGTTGGTCCCATACATTGCAAGCAACTTTCAGATGTGAAATGTGAACACAGAAGAAAAATATACGTATTACATGACCAAACGAATTTTTCAAAACCGACATTAATTCAAATTAATATTAATATAACATAACAATTCAACATGAAGGGGAGATGTTGCCTGGATGTGCAATCTTCAAAATACAGTAATTTTAAAATATCAACATTTTCAACAATTTATCATTTAAATTGATCATTTGGACCTGCTCTCCTACGCACAAGATTTGAAATAATCTGCTATGCAGTCTCACAATTGAAGAGAAAAATAAACATGAATTGATTGATAATTTGACAGGTAGAGGGCTACAAAGAATAACAAAAGAAATTAATGACAGTACATTCAGAATGATAAGTATTTTATTGACTAGACTTGCACCTTCTGTGCTGTCCTCAACATTTGGGAATAACTTGAATGCTTCTTTAAAGGTATCACATTTTGATGATAGAACATTATCACACAATACTAATATTGGAGTAAGTTTCAGAGAGTCTGTCCTTAAAATTGATCTATTTCAAATGTTCCAATTATTCCTAAAGATAGATGGCCTGAAACCCACTTTACCACACATTGAGAAAAGGTTATTCATTAATTATTGAATTCAATACTGAATGGTCATCTATACATACTGCAGACTGCATAACATCTAACACACATATATATTTGTATATATCTATCTATCTATCAATATAGATTACTTTGATCCTTATAAAACAAGAATATTGTCAGCAAAGCAATTATGTACGTAACAAATATGAAGATTCAAACTTTTCATATTATTTCCAGCAATCAATTCAAGTTGATTGAAACTGATTCAGAACCATAACACATTAACCTAAAACAAACGCCAGATTGTAAAGCATTTTCAGGCATCACTTACTGTACATTACATTAGTAGCACCACTGAATAGTAAATGGTAGAAAACTTTTAAATTGATCACCAAAATAATAAAATATAAATGGAAAACAAAACTGATGCTTTCAAAAATAGAATGAATACCAACACAGTCACAGGCAGTGAATTCTTGATCTAACTTTTGTAACTGTGTCATCAGCAGTAACAGTCAAACATGATTTTGTTGAAGAATAATAATGAATACATATCAATTTGTCCAGCTAGATCAAGATTTCACCACACAACCAAAGAATGTAACGTGAAATTTGTTTTTCACACACTTGCTGCTAACTGACTAGACTTCTCATCGAGTAAACGTCCGCTGATGCCTTCCAGAGTCTCGCCGACTGTTGCCACCACCTCCTCGGCCCATAGGGCCTGGACCTCGATTGAACCTATCTCCTTCTTTCCCACCAGGCCAGTTAAGACCACCAGTCCGTAAGCCTCCAAGTCGACCAGCCAAGGAGGAGCCGAATTTTTCCTCTCTCATAACTCGTCCTTCTCTGCCCTGATCAATGGCACGGAATTGACGCTGACCAATGCCACCCATTTGTCCGGGATTATCATGAGGAACCCATGAGTTTGGCCCATCACCGCGAATGTTAGAAGCACGAAGACCACCTGCAAGTCAGTTGGAGATTTGTTAGAAACATACACTAAATTTTTATTTTTAAATATCAATTCACAGTGACTCATACCTTCCCGTCGGTATTGATGATTAGAGCCAAAAAATCTTCCTCGTTCTGAACCAAATCCACGACCTCGGCCTCTTGACCTAGTAGCCATCATGTCCTGAAAGAAGCAGTACAGTTATTAATAATATAACCTAAATTAATTTATAATTCATCTATCATTAGGAATGTTAAAAATTAATATACCTTGGCTGCTCTCATAGACAACTTATTGTACCCTGTGGGACCAGTTGGTTGGGCTCCACATGTTTCCAGAGCAACAAAATCATCAACGTGCAAAGATGGAGGTCTAGAAGTGTTGGGAGGTCTTGATCGAAATAGATCTCCACGTTGTTGGACAGGGCGACTGAAACCTCGCCCGCGCATCGGTGTAACAAAGGGACGCCTTGTCTTAATGTCTGAGCTTACATATTTCACATCTTCACCAATTACTCGTTTTTTAGTGTTCTCTTCACTTCGATCTATATCAACATCTTCTCCAAGACCAGCTCGGAGGCGGCACAACCTAACAGACTCTGCCAGAAAATGCATATCACGTATATGCTCCCGTGAGAAGTCCAGAAGATCACATGCCACCTACAATTAGAAGTGAAACAGATATATAACAAGTTCAAGTAAATTTGATCATTTTCTAAGAATACAGTGTTATTCAGAACTTAATTTCCATGCTACTAACCTGCTCTGTATCTTGGTCTCCTTCATCTGAAGTTGGAATGGACAGCCAATATCCCAGACTAAGCCTATCATCATCAGACTCACAAATTGTGAACACAGGTCGGAGTGAGAATTGTGTTAACAAGGTTTCAGGTGGTGGTAGAATAACCTCTCCAACTTCTGAGGCTGAAAATTCAAAATTAATTTATAAACTGTGCAGATACAGCATCATAAAAATTTCTGAAGTGATTAAATTATAAAATAAATCATACCTTTTGGTTCCATTGGCAAGTTGCCTTCATCCTCCAAAATTCGAAGAAGCCCATTTACATTTTCATGAAGACTTTCCAAGGACTCATCAGCACAAAATTCTCTGAGCAATTTTTCTAGGTGTGAAATTGGATGGCGTTTTGTTGATGATTCACTGTTTTCAGGATCATCAAAAGGAAAGGGAAGGTCTGTCCGGTGCCACCCTATGACAATTGATAATTCAGGTACACTAAGCACTAACTTTCTTGCAGGCAACCCAATGGTACTGGATGAATCGAGATCATTATTGTGAGCTTTGGTTGGGACAGCATGATGAAGATGAGAGGGTTGATGGTTGGGAAGTGGATTTTGAAATTCTGTATGAGGATTCTGCTCTAATATCTGATCTGTTATCACATTTGCTTTCTTCTTAGAACCAAGTTCATCTTGCTCTTCCTTAATAGACTGGTTGCTTATGGACAGTGAGAGTTGGTTAGTCCCAGAACTTGCAAGTGGAACATCAATTTCCATTGCTTCAGTTTCCTCTTTGATGTGATCACTTTCCTTTGGATGAACAGTACGATGCGGACTATTCATTGATTTGGCTGCCAGCTTATTGCGTAGAGATGTTATATCAGAGTCGGAATATTCCCCTTCAGGTAATATGCATACTCTTAGGAGTTCTAATGAGGTAGAGAGAGTTGACAGCAAATCAGATGAATCTTTGCTAAATGATGTACAAAATTTGCAGAATAAGTTCCAAAGGGCGTCAGGCTTCTTGAGCAAGCAGCTGAAAGACAAAATTCATTTACCAATAAACAATTATGACAATAGGGAGTCAGAAAATAATAATCATGCAAAAGTATTTGGAATGTACCTTTTTAAATGGTAGAAGCCATAATCATGCTCAGCAAGCATGAGGAAGGTTCGGACAGTTGGTAGAAGAGTTGTAAAGGAATGTTGTGGGTTTGACATGTGTTCTAATAATACAGCACAAAATGTAGGCAAAATTTCTCTTGGTGGAAGTGCAGAGGCAAAGAACTGCTGGGGCGAGATAGAGGAGTCTTCTCCAGGACCAGGAGGTGGCATGAGTGATATATCAACATCACATAAGGATTGAATAATAGAAACCTGCATCAAAACAGTTCACAATAGATTTAAAAAAATAAAATATGTATCTTTGACGCACAGTTTACTTTTTCTATGTTACTAACCACACACTCCTGGGCTTGAACATGAGATGGAGAGTCATACGGAGTACGGAGAATGCGACACAGATGACTGACAAGTTGTGGGAACCGTTCATCTGTCTTTAGCCCGCTCCCCCGAACACCAGCACAGAAAAGATTTAACACAGCGCATTTTACGGATGCATGAGTGATGAGACAGGCCAGAAAATTGAGCAGCCGAGCAGTATGGCTAGAACAGGGCCCTTCAGGTGGCTGCGTAACTGGGTGAACTTTAGGATGAATGTTCAAGCTCACAAGAATCTAAATAAGAATAACAAAAACAGAACAAAAATATAAGTATTACTTCTTAGGTAAAATTTATAAAACAAGAGTTAACAAGCTAAAAACAAACTTACTGCATCCAGAATCGATCGCACGACAACAAGAGCTGCGGGCGCAGCTAAATCAGATAACTGTACACAGACTCTTCTCAGAAGCTGGAGTAACGATGGACAAGAGCTTCCACATAATGTGGATATCAGATCTCCTATCGTTGAGCTTAGGGAGTGCAAGTGGGCACACCACAGTCGTCGACTTGTCATGGTCTGAGCAATTTCATCAACAGGTAATGGAGTACGAGTTTGCACAGGTAGGGGTAATGGGAGCAGTTCTGAGAGCATGAGCAATCCTGACATGAAAGTATGGGCATTTGTTGTTATATATTTTAATACTTCAGCCATCATTAAAGTCCACAGGCTGTTATTTAGCCCTTCTTTCTCTGAAGAAGATGCAGGTTGCACAGGCTGAGTATATGCAAGAAGAATTTCAATCACTTCACGACAGCCTTGTTGAGCTGCGGCATAGGCAAATGCACTGCTAGGGAAAGCATGAAGAAGGGTGTAGGTTTGAAGAATTGCATTAATGGCAGTCAAGTCTTGGAAGTCAGTGTTACGACACTGTATCACTAGAGTCAACATCTGTCTCAGCAGCTCAAGAGCTGGAAGCACAAATGACATTATAGTAGCTCCTTTTGATCCCAAAAATGCAGATGCGTGAAGGGAAGGCTGATCGTACATTTCACATATTCGAGTCAAGATAGATGTCAAATGGGAAACACCATCCAATGAAAACAGTTCAAGTAAAACATATTTATACTTGAGCTCCAAATAAGAATATTGATAGTTTGCATTATTATCTATTGCATTTTCTGTGCTCAGTGAAGGCATAGAAAGATGCTTCAAAATCCTGAGGGCCGTGATTAATTCAGGTGGTAAAGATGCAGTTTGCTCTATGTTCTTCTTAATTACTTCACATAAAGGCACAATGTCATCATAAGAAAACAGTTGTTGGTTTTCAATAACTTGTAAGAAAGGTACCACTTCCTTCAACACAGTGTTTGAATTCCTGGCCACTTTCAGAATTTGCAAGCCAAACTGTTGAAGGAATGTGCCACTATCACTGAACTTCACTGTGGTAGCAATCAAGTCATCAACAAAATTCTTTCCAGGATATCTATACTTAATGTCTGTATCTGGAGGACTGAATTTGAGTAGTTCCAGGAGTATTTGGATGAAATCTCCTCTACTAAGAATATGTATCACAGAGGATTTTCCATTGTTGGAGAAACTAAGATAATATAACCCCAACAAATTTTCAAAAATTTCTTGACGTTCTGGGTCTGCATTTCCAGATGAAAGAGCTTCAAGAATCTGGTCAAGAAAGTGAAGAGCTTGCAAGCGATAGGCAATGCACACTCCCAGGAATTGAGAAGAAGATGGAGAAATGTTGGATTCATCGAGTAACTCATCACTTGAGGATTGCTGGAGGAGGATACGCAGCAACATGTTAGTACTTTCAATATGAGTAGCCAGATACTGAAGACCAGCTTGTGACTCAGCAAGTGCTTTGATTATGTCATAAACAGGACCTACTACACTTTGACAGTTCATAGTCTGAGGTGATGTAAGAAGAACATTACAACATTCTAAAAAGTTATGGCAGTGAAAAAATGAAAATAATGCAGGATAGGGACGTTGATCTTCTTGACAACATGCACCAAAGTCAAATTGAGCGTGACCTGGTAGAAATCTCTTTGGCTGACTCAGCATAAGTGGAGCTTGCTGATAAATTGATGTAATTTCAGAGAGACATGCCACTAGAGTATCAATAACTTCATGGTCTGAAGAAACACTCAAATCATTATTCTCTGCCAGAGGTTTTATAAGCCCATCCATTGTAGTCCTTTTTCTCTCCACTGCATCACGACTACCAGAGATATTGGTTCCAATGACTAATTTCACTGTACTTTTGAATTTTTCTAACATTTCATAAAAATGTATTTTACGGATTAAATTGCACAATGCAAATTTTGTACGTGAGAGTTTTTCAGTCTTAAACATCAGCAACAATGCTTGGTATCCATTAAGACCTACATAAGTTTTCACACCATTTACTGGAATTCTTCTTTTAACCAAGCGAACTGTCTTCTTCCCATTTACCATAACAACAACTTTCTTGAATTGAAAGTTTCCTCTCTTGTTTGTCTGCTTTCCAATGGTTTCTTTCTCTCTTTCTTTTGATGTTTCTTCTTTTGAGTCTGAAGTCTTTGACCCAAGAATGTTTTCTGAGTTCAATTCTGATTCAGTATTCTTACTGACACCCTTCTCATTAATTTCCATTTCTTCCCTTTCTTCTTTCTCATCACTTTCATTCACCAACTCATCATCCTTCCTAGTTTCTTGTTTGATCTCCACAGCAAAAGAATCATCCAGTACACCTGCCTCCACCTTCGTATTTTTTTCACTATCATGGACATCCAAACTATTATCCTCACCAATATTGGGTTTAATATCCTCCGAAGTATTTGCTTTAGATTTCAGTCTATCAGCTAGTTTTAAGCCATTGACACGAGGTATAGACGTCCGCAATACAAGAAAGTGTTCAACAGCAAACTTGTTACGGAGACTGGCATCTAGAGCTCTAAGAATCATCAACCGAATAGACAAAGACATGCAGTCTTGGTGATATAGTCGTAGAAGACGTTGATGAATTTGTTCATTAACTATAAGAAGTTCAGCTAAGGCTCCACTGCATATACAAAGTACTTCGGCCAGTCTTACTCCAACTTTGATATGGCGAATTTTGTAGCCTGGTTGTGGTTGTCGAACAGCCATGTTGAAATTCAAACCTACTTTGACCCATGATATAAGACGTTTGATAATACCTGGAAAAAGTGGGGGTAAAAAGGTTAGCAATTCTAGATTATTCATATCTAGAGTTCATACATAACTGGGCAGAATCAAAAACTACCAGTATACCTATTCTCTTTTGAGTGAATGGAAGGCCAGGAAGAATTAAGTTGCACGCCTGTTCAGCTGCATGGACCCAACTTTCTTTCACATCTTTTTTGGTTGAAACATCTTCAAATTGTAGAACAATATCCTCCAGTCTGTGTGTCTCATCAGGAATACCTTCGACTTTAGCATCAGCTTCAACTTGGACTGAAGTGGAATTTTTAGAATTCTTTTTTGAGTCTTTTTCATCCTTTTGTTGTTGTAATTGTTTCTGCTGCCGTCTGATGAACTCCGCTTCACATGATGAGATTGAAGGGTCTTTCAGGAACTAGATTGGATCAGTTGTAGAGCGCAACCCGTAGATTAGTAAAGTCAACCATAATAAGTGCAAAATAATTTTTTTATTAAAAAAAAAAAAAAGTAGTCAATAGTTCTTACCACAAGCGGCTGCAGTTCAAATTGGAATGGATTAAATACTTTGATGAGCTCTTCAGAGTCTTCAGAAAAGAAGTCCATGTCCTGAAACTGATAGTATTGCCAAGGTAATAATTATACAAAGTAATGAAGCCGAATGAAGCAGATAAGTCTGCATTTTCCATGGCAAAATATACAGACCTGTCCATCGTCTTCAATATCTTCATCACTCAGTATAGGTTCAAACTGTTCCTCATCAAGACTGGCGTCATCATGGTTTAAAGGAGAATTAACAACAGAAGATGTGTTGACTACAGCTGTGGGTACAGGGCATGTTGGAGGGAGAGCAGATGGAGTTGATGAGGCCAAAGTGAGAGGGGGAGGGGGAGCAACAGCAGCTGGTGGCACGGGGGAAGACGTTTGGGAAGGAGTGGTTGTAGGGGGCAGTTTAACTGGGGATGACACAGATGCAATCACCGTCATCCGGGCAGTCGAAGCTGACGCAGAAGCTGTGGAGGACACAGAGGCTGCTGGGGAAGGAAGTGGACTGGGTGTAGCCAGGAGAGGAGGGCGGGTAGCAGCGGCTGCCGCCGCCACGGCAGCTGCAAGGACCGAGGGGTCGCCCCCTGCAGCAAACAAGGCCAGGTTTGCGGCAGCTTCTCTTTCACGAGCATCATCAGTCATAGGATCCACAGACAGTGGTCTGAAAAGCAGAACAGAGTAGTGAGTTAATTTAAGCAGGTTATTTAAGGTGATTGGTCCACATCCTTTGCTATATGGGCAAATACCTCATAACATTGTTTACTAGCTCTTCTTTTTCTGTAGAATTATCCTGACTTGGTGAGCCAATTGGTGTGTCAGTCATTGGTTCAGGAGGAGGGATTACGTCAATCAAAGAACTATCCACAATCATATCAGAATCTTTGGTGAGTTGAGGTGTAACAAAGGGGCCTTCTGATGCATCATTGCTTGGATGAGCATTATCAGTTTCTGCATCAGGATCTCCTTCTGGTATCTCTCCCTCAGATATCGATTCCACGTCTCCAGGGGAAATAGACCCAAACTGCACAGCTGATGGAGGTGGTGATACAATTTCAACTAAAATTATGAAGAAGAAATGTGATTAATAAAAAAATAAAACAAAACAGTGTCATAAAGTTGACAGTTCACACCAACCGTTTTTAGGTAATGGGGGAGGAGGAAGAGGAGGTGAGTGCTGAGGCTTTTCTTCAGGAGGTGTGTGGGGCCTTTTATGGGGCACATGGGGCGGATTGGGTGGAGTTCTGGGACGTTTCCTACTTGGTGGTGCTTCATCTCGTTCACGGTCCTCCCAATCTCCACCATGAAGAGATCCTCTATCTCTATCCCTTTCTCTATCCCGTTCACGATCACGTTCTCGATCTCGATCTCTGTCTCGCTCACGTTCCCAGGAGCCATCTCGCTGCTTTCTGTCTCGATGACTCACATAAGGTGCAAGGCGATGGTGATCATCAGGTGAGCGATCACCCCATGAGTTTGATGACCTGTGGTGGTCATGATCTCGCTCTCTTCTGCTGCTCCATTCTCCACTTCTCCTCTTGCTGTCCCACTCAGAGTCACGGTCTCTATCACGGTCACGTGATAAAGCTCTATTATAGTCTCTAGATCCACTGTTACTACGATCTCTTGCTTTGTCTCTATTCCTTTCCCTATCATCTCTACGTCGATCCTCCCAGTCTCTATCAGGGGACCTATCACGGCTTCTATCTCTACTTCGTTCTCTGCTGTACACATCTCTATCCCTATCTCTATCTCTTTCTCTACCTCTGTCACGTAATCTGTCGCGCTCATGATCTCTGTCTCTTTCGCGATCACGATCTCTGTCTCTCTCGCGTTCTCTATCTCGTTCACGGTCTCTCTCCTTGCGTTCTCTGTCCCTCTCCCATGGCAGCTTATCTTCTGAACGAGAGTTGGAACTCTCCCATGGAAGAGGCTCTGTATCGTAAGAGTGTGGAGTTTCCTTAGATGTGTCATATCCCTCAGCAGACACAATCACTCCAGACTGCAGATGCAAAACAGGAAATTAGTCAAAACACAGTAAACATACAAATTCCAACAAAGTAAAAGAGATATATACCCTTGATGATGGTGGTCCATGATTTGATTGATGGTTCCATTCCTCATGATAATTGTGACCAGATGACATGTTTGTGTAGTCTCCGGATGGAGGTCCAAGAGAAATAGATTGATGCTGATCATTTTGATAACTACCATTATTGTAAGGATCCCTACTATGGCTTGATTCAACCATGTAGGCTCTCTCTGCTTCTGCAACCTGACAAAGCAACAGAATTATTGAGTTGGTAAAAGCTAAAAATACATTCACAAAAAAGAAGACACAAAAAAGGTTGTATTAAAAATTATACCTGGGCATGTTGCTGAACCCACTCCTGAGTTGCAGCACTGGCAGGTACTGCTTCGGGGGGAGGAAGTGCTTCCGATGTCAGTGGTAAAGTGAGATGCGAATGGGAATGTGTGTTAGCAGATGGAGTCTGCTCTTGCATTGCATCCCTTGGAATTCCATATACAGCCAAAGTAATTGTAGTATACCAGCCACGTAAAACCAAGCCATCGGTGGGTACTTTCTAAAAAACAAAAAAAACAAAAAAACAACAACAGAAAGTTAGAAAATTATTGCATTTTATTTGTAAGTTAAGAAGCTCACATTACAGTTTTCTTACTACTTACTTTTCGTTTGCATTCAAGATGAATACTTCCATTTTGCTTATATTCAAATCCACCCAAGCTTTCAAAAGTGCAGGCACCAGGCTTTTCAAGATCATTAACAAAAAATTCTATCTCAAACTGAGATGGATTTGTGGCTCTAAGAAATTAACAGAATATATACATTAACATAAATTATATTACTCCATTATCCCAATGTCATTGGCAAAGTTGTTACAAAAGACTCACCCTAATCGGACTCCACCAGGAAAATCAGCTTGGACCCGAGCACCCAAAGGAATAATGCGAACTTCTGTGATATAAACTATGTTTGGGAATTGCACAAGGTCCAGATTTATCTCCTAAAAGATAACAAAACGGAATAAATTTACAGAAAAAACACTCAATATATAGGATTCAGAATAACACAGGAGGGCAATGACATAGTTACTAATTTAAAACATAGAAATAAATAAAAATAAAAGTGGAGAAATTCACAAAAGCCTCTATCACATTAATTTAAGAGACTTGAATAAGTTGCGAAAATTGTTAGCATGACGGGCTTAACATGTTTTTCTAATAATTCCTTCTGTGTCACAATAAAGTCGGCCAAAGTCAGTAAAAAAATTGCATCGGTGTCCAATCTTTGAATGAAAAACATAGGTAGGAAAAGTTGGGTTATGTCATTTCATAATGTGACAGACTCCATGGTATTTGATTTGAAACGGTAAAGAAGACAATGAAGACAAAATGGAAGTAAAATGATTTTAAAGGTATGCCGCAAATACACTCTTACAACCCAAAACTACGAAAAATTTATGAAGTTGTTGCTAAGTTGTGCCGACGCTACATCCGGCTATACCGCACAAAAATGACATTGTAGCATCAGGTTAGCAGTTTATTAGAACCAGGATTTGAAACCTGAGATTTAGACGTGTATTGTGCGTATTTCCGTAGGTAAACCAAACTTACTTCGCAGCTTTCGTGAGAAAAAGTGTCGAAAAACACAAGTTCTGCATTTTCCGCCATGACTTTTCCCCTGTGTGTTTAACTTCGGAGGGGTCTTTGATTTGGGGGCGAATGAGGGAGATCCAACGTGACGTCACGAAGATGGTTCCGACCGTGCGACTCGTGCGAGGTCCATTCGGGAGAGCCGCTGCAGTCGCCTTTCTTATCGAAACCATTGAACCACTGTAACGTTGCAACGTTAGCATGTAAGCACCCTAGCGAGCTGATGTACTACTTATTGTGGCCGGTGGGCCAGGCAAGCCGGTACCTACGTTACAGTTTTTGTCGGGGAAAATTGGCATTTTTCTGTCGCTGTTAGTTATCCGTGATATGTGTCAGAAATTATTACGGTGACACAAACACCTTTATATCCGAGCCTTTACCCCACCTGACGCGCTTGATTGTAGCTACAGTTAGTTGATAAACGACACGGCCAGACACCCTCATGTTGCCTACCCGCCTCTCTGCAGGCGTAAGGCCGTCCCGTTCCCGTTGGACGCGCGAGCCCCCGCGGGGTGGCCTACGCCCCCCTTTCCGCAGTTCAGCCATAATTTTGACCGAAAAGAGGCCTGTATAGTCCGCATGCTGAGTCATTTGTATCTTTTTACGGTCAAATTAGGGGGTCACTTAAGAGAAATTTCTGCCAAAAATTTGAGTGGTTAGTGTGGATCCTTAGTGAGTTCTGTCCGAACCGCTGCGACATTTAGTTCTTTCACTGGTCTTCCCCCTCCCCACCTCTTCTCTCCCCACCTCATATCTGATGTTCGGTACCTTTAGGAATTGAGGCAACGAATAACCAATTGGTCTCTGACATCTGATTTGTCTTCAGATTCATGGTTGCACCGTTGAATAGATGTAGAACTCAAAGATGCCCCTGGTCAGATGCCCGACTAGGACGGCACGGCACGACCCGGGGCGTGGCGAGAGGTGGCGCCCGATCCTCAGGCATGCTGCGGTTTCACACCGGCGGGCATGACCAGCCCATTATTTCATAATGAAGAGGTTCTGTTCAAACAGAGTCAGACCCACAGTACGTGCTCCGGTAACGAGCAAAATTAAAAGATTTGGCATTAGAGCCAGCACGATAAGGGAATTAAAGCAAAAAACAAGGACACTTATCAGAGCTGCGCAGGGGCTGGCGTTAAGCAAGGAGAAGGGGTGAAGGGTCTTTCATCCTGAAGGCCGGATACCTTGTAGAAAAGCGCTACAGAAAACGCAAGTTTTTCTTATTTCATTTATCAAACACACAGTCAGTAAAATTCTACCTTCGCCTATCATCTCTATAATTACTATGAGGCGAAAGAGGCACTCGGTGGCACTCTTCACTCAGTCTCTTGGTTAATAAGCGTCCCCTGCTGCATTTAGTTTTGCTGCTTTGACGGACAGAGAGAGAAAGACGGTGGAGCTAACTTGGCACAGTGAGCCAGCTAGATGCAATAAAACTCAGTTTTTCATTCTCGTTGACAAGGTAGTGTCATTGTGTCCCACGTCGTAGTACGAGAGTGCTGGTTTACATCGAGCAGCCCACAGGCCCGCCTTAGCCTCGGGATTAGGACCGCAAGCGATAGAAATCAAAAATGATGTTTAGTACTGGGCAATGAAAGTACAGCAATTTCACTGGAAAAAATTGTCATATCGGGTACAAGAAAAATTTTCCTTTGAAAATGTCGTGCAATTATAACTCAAAATTTTAAATTTAAAAAGCACTGCATAAATTGACTTGGAATCGAATGACGAGCAGGAGTGAGTGGTTGTACATGTCCAGACTCAACGTTGAATCGACGTTGAAGTCAGAGTAACGTTGAATTTCGGACCATGTACGGTAATGGTCGGGTCAACGTTGATTCAACGTCGATGCATATCCGACTGAGATGCACGACACATTTTTCACAGTTTTACCGTGTAGACGGCGTACTCCACATTTTTGTTCCGGGCGTTACTTCGGTTCTAACCTGAGATGGTGTGAGTGCCCTTCGTCGGTGCTTCTGCGCGCCCCGCTCACTTCCGGGCCGACCGCACTCCGCACTCACTCCAGAGCACCCTGCGGTCGGGACGATCTGGGAGAGGAAGGAAAGGCGTCGTCGTCGTCGGGGACGCGCCGCCGGGGCCCACACCTTGTGCTGGGCGAGAGGCGCAGGACGCAGCGCAACGCAGGACCAGCCAAACAACGTCTTTAGGCGACGGAAGGACTCCCCCCGGCGGCCCGGCGGCCCGCGGGGAGGAGTCAGGTGCCGGTGGTGGAGCGCGGCGCCCAGGCAGACGGCAGGCAGGCGCGCACGCCCGGACGATTAGCCCATTACGCACATCTCTTCCCTTCTCCCCGGGAGGCACGCACGCGCAGTCAAGTGACTACCCATTTCCCTGGCGGGGACGCGCGGCCGGCGGGCACGGCGGCGGCAGAGCCATCGCGGCAGCCGTAGCGGCCACGCCCCGCGACAAGGACTCCCCAAATATTTTAATTGCCCGCGCCGCTCCTGACCCTGGGGCTGGCTGGCTGGTGGGGCCCTCCTGCGCCCTGGGCGTGGCAGCGTCGACAAGCGTCCCCTCCCCGCCCCGCTACCACCCCGCCCCGCCACCGCGCGCCGCTCGACCAAACCGCAAGGTGCACGGCCCTGCCGGGCGCAGGCGGCGCCTCCAGTGTCACTACTATAAGGGACGGGGCGCCGCTCGACGGACGCCCAGTCCTCAGTAGACCGCCGTCAGCAACATGAACCCCCTCCTCGTGCTCCTTTCGGTGCGTTTGTCGCGTGTGTTTTGTGTGTGCAGTGCGTCGCCGTGTGTGTGAATAACAAAGAGAGAGTCGAGCTCAATAAGTGAAACGTGTTGTGTGTGTGTATGTGCAGGTGGCGGTGGCTGTCGCCCAGGAGTCGTTTATCCTGGACGACGGGGACCATCACGCCTTGGATTACGTCCACCCCGCCGCCTTTGGGGCGCGTCACGTGCCCATCGTCGAGCAGAACTTCCAGATGATGCAGGACGGCGCCAACAGGTGGAAGTGAGTCATAATGTGACAAGTTGCGGCGGCGCTCACCTGAGTAATGGATGAAGTGGCTGATCTTTCTCTGACAACGCTCTCGGGCGGGGCTCTCGAGCACGAACTGTATAAAACAAGAAGATGACAGTTTCAACTGGAAAACTAAATGTCCTGCAGTTTAAATGACAAAACCATAAAAAAAAAAAGTTTTACAGTTTAAACTAAAAACTGTTTTACACTTTAAACTGCGAAAGTAAAGTTTATAGTTTGAAGCGGCAAATGATCGCTTTGGTTATGCAGTTTAAACTCTATAACTTTTAAGTTTTGCAGTTTAAAATGCACTACTTTTATTTTTAGTTAAAACCGTCTTCTTGTTATACCGTTAAATGCTACCTCTCGGTTCGTATACACAAAACAGGGCTAGAGTTGTTCTACATCAGTCATTATAACCCTTGTCGAAGTTGTAGAGTACACCGGAGTACACAGCCCTCGCCTGTGGCCACCGTGTCACTCAGCCTCAAAAGTGGGCCTCACAGTCAGCTGGCTGAGAGCTGCGTACTCTCGCCCGCCCGCTCACTCAGCGTGGTCGGTCGGCGACCGCCGCGCGCTCATACTGTACCGCAACGCAGGGGAGTTGGAGGGTTGCCTATCGTCACTGACCACGGCGCCCGGCGCCCCGCCTCCACCCACGGACGGCCTCGGAGCAACTAAGCGGTCGGGCGTGGAGGCACATTTCACCACCGCCGCTGCGCTGGAAACTCAAGTGTGTGAATGTCGGACACTCTTGTGTGAGATTTTCAGTCACACACTTGTACAAGGAAAGGTGTGCGTGATCTGGGAATTTCAAACAAGTGTGCCTTCACGAGTACTAATGGAAATTCGCACGCCTTCAAGTATGCGACATTCACACAACTTCAGTTTGCTATATCGAGTCCTCCTTCATTTAGCCTTACACAAATTGTTTGACCTTTCGCATTTGATTTCAGCTTCGAGTCGGCCGATGGCACAGGTCGCTGGGAGGAGGCGGCCCCAGTCTGGACGGGGGCGGGGGTGCGCGGCGGCTACAGATACGCGAGCGAGGACGGCCCCGTGGCGGTGTCGTACGTGGCCGACAAGTACGGCTTCCAGCCGACAGGCAACGCCATCCACCCCGACATCGTCAAGGCCGTGGCCTTGCAGGTGGCCAAGGCCAAGGAGGAGCCCGAGGGCATGTGGGACGAGAGAGGGTTCCCCGTGTTCGGCTACCACCATCACTACTCCGACTATTAGGCGAGGAGGCGCAGCTGCTCGCGGGCGCTAGGACATTGAGCATGTGGTTTCACCACGTCGCGGGTGATAATTCTAGTCAGCATACGTCTCGTGGACTTATGCCTGTTATCAAACGTTTAAGTTATCGTCTATATCCGTTTGACTCGGCCACAAAATGTGTGTTTTTATAAATTGATGCATCAAGGTAAAACGTCAAATGAATGTGAGCTATGGCTTCTAGTGTAAGGTGAATGTGTACGTCTCGTGTTATACTTATGTAAAAATAAGAAGGTAAACTTTTTACTGTCAACATCGGTTTTATTCATTTCTACTCTATGTTACACAGATACGATTAGAATTGTGTGAACGATGCTATGTTCAAAGAATACGACGAGGCACGATTCACACAATTTTAGTTTTATATAGACGACTCAATATTTGAATTTATGCATGAGGATGATCAACATTTATACCCACAGCCCTATTCAAAATTAATGTCGTGTATCACTGATATGAGCTATACGACATTAAGTCAACTCAAAGAAAGTTAACGTAAAGGAGAAAGTCACAGACAAGACAATTAGGCCGATACACACAGACGAAGAAAAGGCATACCTATAAGTATAGAACGCAACAGGAAGAGAATAGAAATATTTAACATCAGTAAAAATCATTCGTATTATACATGAATGTACACTAATTTGCTTTATAACCATATATAATAGCGCGATTATAAAGAATTTCCTAATATGGCGGTAAAACCGACACTGTCGAAAACTAGTTTCGCACATTTCAAATAATAAACACTTCAGAACAGGTCTAGGGTTGTTTATGCCACTGTTTTCAATTTATTAGCTTCGTACCACACCATTATGGAGCTTTCCTGGTCACAATGGTATTTGAAGGAAAAGGGGTACTTCCGGTGGCACACGTAGATGATTACAGTAAAACTGACAACGTGACGTCCGGGGTCCGGTACTATAGTAATAGGTTAAATACTAGTTTTGATTACGAACCGTCACCGACCAAAGCTGACAATATGGTTTTTTACCACTCGGCATGACTTTGGTCGAAGACGAACAGTGCAACTTCACTTATGCCTACCTTAGATAAATACTAAGCGTGTAATGCTTTCCCAACAAGACCGTTTTTATCCTTCTTGGCTCGCACAGAAATGCACATTCCCGTGCCACGCACTCTCATAGCCTCCAGTCAATCAGTACTCTGCTACTCTGAGCCGACTCATAAGGTATCGACACATATTGTCCGTGATCTTAACGGCCGGTAAAAAAGATGTCATTAAAATATGTACTTACGAAACGCTTAAAACATACACTTATTTCTTTTCACTAATCTGGTAAATAAAAATCACTTTAAATACACAATATAAGCCAAGGCCAACCAGACACTTAAAAAATAAATATACCATGATTCATAACACAATTTACATTATGGAACATGTGATGAGTTACAGTTCGAAAGTTCTGTCCAAGGAGAGGAAGGGTAAGGAGTACAGTCAACTCTCCACATAAATCGCACTTCAAGACTTGACAGATAAACAAAAATATTATAGATAAAGATTGTCATAAGTGGAGACTTTTTCAAGAAGATATGATTGTTCATTACTAGCTACTCTCAATAACAACATTGATATATCATCCAAAATATAAATTGAACTCCCGCAGCAGTAACAAGTGTGGTCGTTATCACAGAAAGGATATAAGCATACTAAGATTCATTCCCAGCAGAGATTGCGCGAACGTTGTGTGTATCATCTTCATCGAATAAGAAGGAAACGACCGTGCACTCGCAACGGCACTAAGTTTAAGTAGATTCACTGTAGAAACGTGGGGATGTTGTCCAAAATATAAACATGGATTATCAACGTACACTGTCAAAAATGATACCCGAGTTACCATCGACTACAATTTTCAAAAGTACCAGTATCGAATTTTAATAAGTGTATCACTAATGATATCTCAACTGCTTTTTATTTCGAGGAATTGGCTAAGGCTACTAATATTCGTAATTGGTTTTGATTTTTCTTTTTAAGATACAATATTAAATAAAATAAATTCACCTAGTGGATTTTTTTATATGAAGATAGAAAGGAATGAAGAAAATTTCTTTAAATTTTTCAACTGAGTACAAATTTTTGCACGTGCCAACGACAAATCTCAAGAAGGGCAGCTAATCGAAGTGTTATGCTACATTTACCTGTTTCTACCAGATTCTCATACAAATGGTTTACTAGAGTCATTCCATAACAATTTTAACACATATTAAATGGGGAAGGCACTACTATTATACAGTTTGGCTTTGACGTAATTTGTACCGCGTCAACATGTATGAATACATAATAGCATTTACTTATCGTTTTTCTACACTTTTAGTGTTTGTTACAAACACTCTGTTATTAATCTGTAAAACCCAGATTAGGAGACAAGGAGGGGAAACACCCTCCATTGGAGAATTCGTTTCGTGGGGTTCACGCGAGGGAGAAGGGGTAAGAGAGTAAGAATAGAAATTGGGAATGGGACGCGGGGTAACCTTAACTTGAAATTGGTAAAAATGTAAAAAAGACAGCTATTAGAACGTAAAATAAATAGGAAGCGTAAGAATAGACTCACTATTTATGTAGTGAGTGAAGGGAAAGATTGGAAGTATTCTTAGTTTTGGAAGAGATAAATAAACCACTTAAACCATACACATAAAAGTGGCATCGCTGATTTTCCATCGGGGCAGAACCACAGTAACGCGAAACAACGAAACTGCTGCAAACTACAGGGTCGTCCAGGAGGGGCTAATATTATATGATACAATTTTGTTTACGCAAAATAATTAATTATATCTTTTGATTGTTATGCTATCACTTTTTGTAAGCGTGATTTGATTTTCAGTTTTTGATTGAGTTTTCGCAATTACTGAAAAGTCCTTGGTAAGCTTGAAAACCCTGCTTACGTATATGCGCCCCAAATATCAAGTTTGAGAGAAAAAGGGGGAATGAGGAGGGGGTTCACAGGACTTGAAGAGAAAACTGGTGGCCATCTTGATACAAATGTTGATGTAGGCCCTACAGCAAGCGAAGATTCCGCGCTAATAGCCACCGAAAACTGTTTTCCATTCTGTTCACAGCGCAATTACTTTCTCGGCGTCCCAGGGCTGTTCGCCCAGCAGGATGGAACCTCTGCGGCTGCTGGTGGGTGAGTACTCGGGCGAGCTGGGCACCGTTAGACCCGCGGGGACGTCCTCGTGGGCCTGGAGAGCGTCCCCTTGGGAAGGCCTTCGTCATGGTGACTCGTTGCCGTCCGACCCGGCCATACCGGATCCCAGACTGGCGATGGGGAACAGAGGGTAGGCGCCGTGTGTGGGATTGGTGAGCGTCAGACGGTCGAGAGCCACCTCCGCCCCACCCAGGCCCTGATTGTGTTCGAAGCTGCCTTGCTTTTCCCAGAGCATGACGATCAAAGAGCGGCCCAGGACGTCGCAAGCCGAGTAGCGCAGCGTCTGCTGGTACTGCGGGTTGCAAGAACGGCGCACCACGCGAGTCTTGCGCTTCTGCAACCGGCGCTCACCATCCCGGAGGTAGGTCTTCACGTACGTATCTGTCGTGGAACGGTCCGAGTTAACACACGGGCAAAAGGGCAAGGTGCGTACAAAGGAACAAACTGTTACCGAAAACTACTAAACGATGCTCGTCGGAGACACACGGAGAGACGAATAGCATCAGCACTGTCGCTTCACCGTAATCGTTATTGTGAGTTATTCCAACAACAACGCTAGACGGTGATGACGACAGTAGTGACAACTGCGCTGGGTTTATCAGCCGAACAGGCGAACACGCATCCGTGGCATACATGGCTCACCTGGTGGGTTGTCTGCTGGGTATCCCGTGAAAGTCGCGCTCTTGATATCGACTTCTAGCTGTCCTTTGGTCATTAAAAGCACCATTTCCACCTGGCCACGTACGCCTGGAAAAGAACACGCGGTAGTAGTGGAAAATTCAAAGAGAATGGAATGGGGATGGTAGCTCCGATCGTCGGCGAACAGTACTGAAAATCAGGCAAGCAATTCGATACAATTCATTCAAGGTAATGCGGGCGTGTAATACATTCGCAGTAGGTCACCTCCTAGTAGGTATCTCATAATAAGCCACGAATTAAGTCCGTCTGAGATAATAATAGTTGACGAACTGTTTTTCGCAGCCCCACGAAAAGTATTAAGCGCAACTGAAAGAACACTTAGGAAATAAAAACGTTTTGAGAAAATACGAGTTTTGTAAAGGATTTCAACAGGATTTAGTGTCAAATAATTAACGCACAGCTTGTGTAACAGGGTTCACGAATGTTTGTTTATGAATTATCTCTAATCTAATCAACAACTAGACTAGTTGGAAACATTTAACATACTGGGATTTTTCTACTCTACACAGAGACCACGTGCCGGTCAAGGAGTCTAAATTAGTGTGTGTAAAATTAAAACATATGAAGTTTGATGGCTTTCAGATAGCCCCAATACAATGGTTATTCGAAATAAGCCAGCGAACCATATGACTCAATCTCGAGGGTTGATACGTCGTGCTACGGCCAGGGACTTTTACACATGCAATGCCAAATTTCTCTACGAGCTAATTAGAGGCTTTCAACTCTCACCTCCGAGAGTGTGGGAGGCCCGTGGTTTCACCTGTCCAGGCCCCAGTGGCTTTTCTCTGGAAAACGAAAGCTTGCTGTAAACTAGCGTTATCCCCCACGTTTCTTCTTGCTATACCGTCTAGTATTTATTGGAATAAATGACCTTCAGATCGGTTTATGTAACCTAGAAAGCAATTATCATTAGCAGTGATAACGAAACGGTTTGACTTTGGGAGAACGGTAAACAAACACTGACTGGTTATTGGTAGTCATTGATTTACTTGAATTTTTCGTGCGCTGTTGGTGCACATTAAAATATTAGGTGACGTTCTCGATCAAACCGTTCCGTTGGGAGACGTTATGGATACTTACTCCCAGTGCTCGTCATCATCAGAGTCTGGCCCTAGGGCGGCCAGACGCTCCGAAAGCCGCCTCGCCAGCTCGTCTCTTGGCAGCGAACCCACCTCCATCATGGAATGCTTCCTCCCCTTTTGTCCCCCTGTTGAAAAGTACAGGGACTTAGAGAAAAATAATGACGAAGTTACAGAGTAAATATTGGAATAAATTACACAGTTGATTCAAACACAACTCCTAAGCAGCTTGCGTAATAAAGCATGAAACAAGCCACAAGCCCATCACCTGTAAAAAAACACTACTCCAACACCAAACCCCCTCTCATGTTTGGTTTCACTCAATAATTCATAAGTCTAGTAAAAATTTGACTTACGACCATGGATCGTTTGCCCTGGAGAGATTAGGGTTGCGAAATTACCGGTAACAATGAATGTTACCGTAAATTACGGTCAAAATCGTAATTTACCGGAAATTTTGGAAAAATTGGAAAAATTCAATTTGAAGCAGAAAAATTTGCAATATACTATTTCTTTACTCTTCGAAATTCGTGTGTCCTGACTAAAAAGTGACGGAATAGCCGGTCTTAGCTATACTTATTGGAATATTTGTGTTTTTCATCTTGTTCTTACCAACATCAGTTGTATATAGAGTTACCAGAAGTACACCTATAAAAATCGTGATCTAAAGCTATGCCTTTTAAACTTCAGAATAATGACAAATTTGCTATCTGGTCTCTAAATAGTGACTAAAAAGGTGATAAATATGTCAAATTTACTATTCTAAATGTGACTTTTGCTTCTGAAAAGTAAGTTTTTAACTCATTTTGTAGGGTTATTATTACCGTTTTTTTCAACGTTACCAAGCTTTTGGTAAATTACCGTAAATTACCAATTTTTCCGGTAACGTTACCGGTAACATTACCGGCCGTCGCAACCCTAGGAGAGATCCATGAAGATGCTCCCACAATGAACGTTTAATGAGGCGTCGTGGCGTTTGGGATCATGCAGAAGGAACAGCCGTCATTTGCAGATACGAAATGGCCAAGTTCAGCCTATGGAGGCTCTAATAGCGCCTAATAGGTAGGCAATATCTTGTCTGCAACGCGCATGTGTGCTGCGGAGTAGCCTACCCTGAGTCTGGCAGGCGCTGAGCGGCGCTGAGCTTCCGTAGTTTCCCGACTGAATCTATGAACACTTTCTGAACGATTCTGTTTACAAGTCTCAGCGTTCACCTGCCTGCCCTGATTGGTCACCATCTCCACACAGCTGCCTGGCGGGCAGGCCTACCCAGTGCTTAGCAGGCGCTATCCAACACTAATCGAAATTACGATACTGATAACAAAAAATTAGCAACAAGTTACGGGTTACAATTACCATTTTTCATCGCTCACAGGATGCTATAACTCGATATGGCAGATAGAATGCGATACATTTATAGAGAGATAATAATTTCAAAAAATTACGATTCTTTTTTTATCGCAAAATAAAGCAATAACAAAGTTCTCGTATTGATTTTGGTATAAAAAGTTGGTAATTGTAAACCGGTAGTTGTGGCAAAATTTGTGTTAATGTGATCGAAAATCCACTGTCAGTAAAGGCGCTAACCCTCGCCTCGCCTGGGGGAATCGTTCATCCTGGGTGCACATTTAGAGTGCGAGAGGGAGCTTGGGTTGAGCACACGAACGCACACGCACACAAGCAATGGGCAACTCTACAGCCGTAGAAAGCACATTGCTGTAAAGCTAGCATTAAGTAGAGAAAAATAAGCAATTTTGTGTGTAACCAGAATGTTTTTATTTGTGTTTTTAGTTTGTGTGGATGAAACACCAACTACACACGTGAAAATGATAGGTTATATGTGTCAGTGGCGTTGGGTTAAAGTATATACTGTTTAGTTTCACAAAAAAATTGAACAGCCAAATTTACATTTGATGTCGTTTCGGACTGCATATAAATACTTGTGAGTACGTTGTGTTTTCATGTTAACATGAAAAAGGTAGATTTATGGCAATTCTTGTGACTGCTCAAGTTAACGATTTAGCAGTGGAAGAAAGTACAGACACGGGTTTAAGTGCGGCTGGTGTGAGAAACTGCTAACAGGGGTATTGTATCGCGAAATACTAGGCGGCTGTTGAAGGCCGGAGAAGGAGGGGATGGGATGGGGGCTTTTCGCCTTCCCACTCGGGTGAAGTTAGGGGCACGGTCGACTGGTTTAGATAACTTAATGCAAATATGCTTGAAGTATAAAAGTAATCACGTGAAAAGGCTAAAAAACAAAATGCGACACACCGATTTTAAATGACGCTAGTTTGAACAACTATGAAGCTGAAAGAGAATAAGTGACATCACAAAAGCACAAGATGTTGACCGCTTGGACGACACAGATGACGTTGCAGAAGCGAATGCTGTATGCACACACGGTTTAAAAATGATCCGTTTACAAGTACCCTCCATATTAAGCACACGTTCAATGGTTTCCTGTCAGAGTATACTTAGTTACATAAAAACAAATAGTATTTCTCGGTCGCTGGTGAAAGACAAACATTTAAACATTTAATAAACGCCCTGGAAGGGGTCTCAGTCGAGGGTACGAGTAAGTACGGTTCATTCGTTGTAGTTTCTGATATAACACTTTTCGTTGTCTTACCATGTTTGGTTTAAGATTTGTCCGCTGTATAGAAATAGAAAAGAAGAAACAATGTTACGAAAGTATGAAAAAAATGTGTTCACGCTTCTGAGGTACAAGCGCCACTCGTACTGTGATAAGAATGGACGTGTACGGATGTGTAACGAAACCAATGTGAGATCAAGCGTAGAGAAAATCACCTTACGAGTACGGGTGCGTGGGAATTACTACTTTTTAAAAGTTTGGTTGACTAAGCTCTAGCATGAAAAGCTTTCAATTATAAATAAGAAATGTTTTGTGCTAGATACTGTAATAACCAATAGTACATCAAAATTATTTTGATATAAAAGATTTTAAAAACCGGGTACTGTAACCTTAGGCAAGCTAGTAGAAGGATAACAGCAAAATAATGACAACCCATTCCCATAAGTAGTGCTTATACAATCAACAATTTTCTGGAAGAAGAAAGCGACAATCGCTTGCCAATATTGCCGCAAACACAACATACACACACGTCATAGGGAAATAGTATGTTTACATGCAGAAATAGGTCTGTGAAATGCAGGAGGGTCTCAACTTAAACTTAACGCACGTGCTTCTTACAGTACATTTAAATTCAAGCAATCTAGATACGAAAACATGAAAGGTACATACGCCTAGGGCCGCGCTTCCCCGCCTCTCCGGAGAAACTCATGGTGCGGCCAAGGTCGCCCTTAGCAGCTTTCAACTGTCGAAGTAATTCCTCTGGATCGCGATTACCACGAGTGGCTGAGGACCGTCGACGTTCCTTGTTGAAATTGATTGGAGGTAAATCGTTGTCTGTGAAGTCATTAAATTGATTTTAGTAATCGTCCCTTTCTCTCTAGTAGAGTTTCTTTAATAATTTGCTTTAAAATGCTTACCCAAACTCCCTTTGCTTTCTGCATTTTGCGCAGACTGGAAAGACGATCGTCGACTTCCTGGCTGGGAGCGTGAGAAGTCACGGTCAAGTTGATAAGTCTCGACCTCCAGCTGTTCTGACTGCGACGACCCGCGCCGAGAAGAGGCTCCAGACCCCATGCATGACCAGGCGTGGTCTGGGTGAAGCAGCGAAAACTCGGGTGAACCTAAAAGACCCGATTCACTTTCGGAGTCCCGTTCCTCTGCAATAAAAGTAAATGCGTAAACAAGTGACCCTTCACCGCTAACAGGAGCGTTGTGCAACTGTCGCACAGTCAAACACCGACTTTACTCACCCGAGAAAGACCTTTGGTTGATCCCAGAATTACGCATTAATCTTTGCGTCATATCAGAAGCAAGCGAGCCACGCGGCGACGCAAGCGGGGACTTCCCTCCGGCACGTGTGCACTTGGGGTCCTCTAGTCGGTACCACACAGGCCGATCATCCAGAAAAGCCTTTTGAAGATCTACCGAGCATTCGCCGAGAAAGAATGTATCTCTTTCTGGGCCAGGACAAGCATCCCAAAGGGTGACTTCCATTGTGCGATCCATCAAAGTCTCAGGCTTGATGTTGCTGAACTCCAGCGTAGCGTTCCAAACCGGGTTGTGAGTAGGCTCCGCGATATCTGTCTTAAGACCTTTTTCGTCACCCCTATAGAGCAGAAAGGAATGCAAAACGTTATTACGAGGGTGCAATAATTAAAGTCGTAGAACACAAAAGACGTATAGCAGTCATAGACTCACATAACAGGTAGAAGTCGTAACTTAGCATACGCCTCTGGAATGGTCCCGTGCCCAGTGTCGTCCGAGCGGCACGCTAAATCGTCCGCAGCAAGGACAGAGACGACCAAATCGTCGTCGTGAAGCCACACCTGCATTTGGATCCGGCCCGACACCTGCTTCTCCCGCAGCATCTGTTCCTGGAGAGAGAACACTAAACCTTGTGACGAGTGGTCAACTGAGTTGTCTGTGGTTGTTAGGAAGCAATACCTGAACAAAAAAAGGTGGGTGCTGTGTCAGAGTTTCCTTCTGCTGACAACTGACCGACCTTGATAACCGACAGTTAAGTGACTGTCTAGGGAATAAGGGTATTGTTGGGTGAGTGTTAGACAATGAGAATACTTGTAAAGCCCGAAGCGTTGACGTGGTTGCACCTAATTGCGTATGGACGCTGAGAGAATCCTGCTACTTCATTACATTTGAAAAAAATAACTTCAACATTGAATTTGCCGGATATGAGTCGAATTATTTTTTCCAATCAAAAACGATTTAACCGCAACGAAAATTAAAACTAGCAGGTTGGCACATTTCCTTAATTTGCACCAGTTAAAACCAAGACTAATGAAGTCTGTAACGTCTATTCACGTACACAAACATTTGTTGTGTGCACATTTTTAGAGAAAATTATACCTACGGATAGCTAAATACTAAGAAGGTTTCTACATTTTAATATACAAAGCATAGAAAATCGCGAAAGCAAGTAAAAGAGTTTGCGAAATGGAGACAGTCGTGTGAAGAAATGACGTGAAAAACACAGCAAATTGTTAATTCAAAACACTAATCCACACTCAAACACACACACCCACACACACACGCAATCTGTAGAAAGGAAGATGCGCAAAGGCATTGCAGCAACATTTCTACAACGTTGCAAAAACTACGGCATGCAAAAGACTATAGGGGTAGGCTCAAAAGTACAGCACAAAAAGTAAGAGTTTCTTACAGGTCCCTAGCGAAGCATCGATCGGTAACCTACAAGCGAAGCAAGGTTTAGTGTTTTCTTGTGGATCCCAGCAACCAGCCTATCCATACCCTAAAGTGTTTGTCAATGATGCGAAGAAGCTCACGAGTGACATAAGAAGTAGAACGATTGACAAAGAAACTATCGCAAACGCAGGTGTGGTTTGTATTGTAGAGATTTTCCCCTACTGAATAGACAAGGCAGTATTTCCAAACGCATCACATCAGTAATTGTTATGTTACAATAACACTCAATCCGTCTCAACCTCGTTTTAGGATGACAAGAAATAACAGTGCAGCTAATCGTGGATGAATATTATAATTTTTTGATTGTTATGGATTTGCATTGGAATAGACCCTATTCAGTCTCGGCTCCGGGAGAATAAAACAGGAATCCCAACCGGAACCAGTACCTTTATCCTGCCATATCCCCGCGATAAAACTTGCAAACCTGCTATAAAAATCACCAAAAACATTCTGGATGGTGCCTCTACCTACCAAAGCCATTTAAATGTTAAAATAGCGTGATTATTTGTAACTGGTTACGGTAGGGATTCCTGTTTTCCTCTCTTTGAGCCGAGACCGAATAAGGTCTATTGAAACAAAGGTATGAGCTACTTGGAGTATCCTTCTCCATTTTCAAAGGGTAACTAAAAGCTGGAAACCTAACAGCAAATAAGCAGTTCTGAACAAAAGTTTTGTTCTAGTGCTGAGCGAATTATACATTTTCTAAGTTGGTGAAAAAACGATGTGGGCAGCCACAAGAGTCATGTCAAAATCTTATCATTATACCAGCCTAAGTTTGACGGTACGTCAAACATTAGCCTTTATTCAATTTGAAGCTCCGCGGCTGATAACAACGAAGGCATAATACGTGCACACATTTTCGCTCGCACCACGGACAGAACTAAGAAGAGAAGTGAAACGTAATTTTACGTCGCACAACAATGAGAGATTGAAATATCTACTTAAAGGCTTAATCGCTGAGTGTAGAGCGATATGCCAAAATCATTGAGTTATAGCTTTTTGCAATTGACAGTTGCCAATAGAATATCCACTGTTGCGTTCCAGTCCAACCGATAAGGAATACAAAGAGAGAACCACTGTGAAAAATATTCTTAAGTTTCTGCGTAGATATTACGGAAAAGTGTTCCATTATACAAACTGGGTACAAATGTTCATAACACTAATGTATTGACTTTGAATTCGTCGACGAGCGAAAGTCGTCAGTCGTAAAGTTACAAAGCCATTCGTAAATTTACAGCATCGTTTGTAAACCGAACTTAGTTGTATATTGTTTTGCCAATTTACAAAAATATGTTACACAGTGACAAGTACTGGAAATAAATTAATGCTTAAACATTATATTTTGGATCTTATCACGCTGACCTTACGCTGTTCTGGATACCATAATTAGGCTTGTCAATCATCCCCAAAGGAAATGTGCCACCAGACTGCTCGAACGCGGCTGCTTCAAACATACCGACATCAAACATTACGGACATACCGAATGTCGATATAAAGGGAGTTTAATCTGTCATACAAATGCTACGATAATAGGGCAGAGATAAAATACGCGGGAAACCTAAAAAGCGAAGCCCGACTCTAAGTGTATTGCCATAGTCACTAATTAGGACGCAACCATCCAACCTTACGTGCATTACGCTATCTCATTGAAGATACGTGGTTGAGCATCAAAATGACAAGTCAACTGCAGATATAGATTCGAGCCAATTTATTAATTTATTTTTTAACATTACAAACGACAAAGACCCACCCTACTTAACAAAATCGAGCGCTAAATACACGTAAGGCGACTACTAGTAATAATAACAATCTATGGGTGGAATCGAACGGCCGAGATGAGAAAAACCGATTATTTACTCGCTAGAACAATGACAGTATCGTTAAAAATATACAGCAGCGGACAAGCGCATACGTTTATGAATTCACTGAGGCAAACAGTTATGAGTTTACGGCTCGACATTTACCAGTTTACCTTCTTTCTCTAGAGGGGTAGAGCAGTTATTCTGCGTATAGCAAAGTACACACATTTCCGAAATCGTATGAGCACAGAAGGGAAGTTATTTCGGCAGATTTCTATGATCTATAAATAATGTACGCTCCCACGCTGAACTCGCAGCTGCGAAGCGAGCACGCAAAGTTTAATCCTTTTCTAGCTATTAGTGGAGCCAACCCCTATTCTAGAACTTCTAAAGTGGGCAATAGACCTTATCATGAAGATATGTACAAGCTAATTACGATAATTACATACACGCACCAAATCAAGGAGCTGAATGATGAGCGTCCTGGTCTGCTTGAAATAGACGCAGAAAAATGCGACACGCACATTTCTGCATTAAAAATACTCATGTTATAGTTCCAGGAGCTGGGTGATGTGATGGACAGTCTACTATATTGGTCCGAACGACAATGTGTCCTCTCAATCTAATCCTCAGCTAACGGTTCACGAAGAAAAACACAACGTCTTTAATGGTTTGTAAAGCCACATTGGGTAAAAGGGTCTGTCTGCGGGTATCATATGTTGTCATAGCTTTATGCACAAAATTCTATCAAAATTAACTGAATATTACTTCTCTTTCCTTTTAGTGTTGAAAAGACCTTCAGTGTAAACCAGTGTAGGTGGCTTGCTTCAGAAGTCCGCAACGTTGCTGAGAGTAATTCCCACCGAATAGAAAAAGAGCAAGACAGACTTAGTTTGGGTGGAAAAATGAAGAACTTGGAGATAGATTAACGTGCGGGGCGATTCAAATGAAAAAGGAAAAGCGTCTACATTTACTGTATGTTATCGGAACATTCGTAGTTCAAGAAAGCTTATCGTTCACAGATAATGAATTTGCCACATGTTTATCGAGTTAATATCAAAATAGAAAGAAAGTCTATATTGGAAAGTCTTAAGCTTTAAGAAAGATCACACTTCTAAACAGCCCCATTAAGCTGGCCTTCAATTAACACCAAAAGCGTATTTCCACAGACGCATAACTCAGCTACAGATCTAAACTACAGCAACACCTCATCCAGTATTGTTACAGATATCACAGAAAGATTAGTAGCTACCAAGAAACACCCACTTATAATGTCGTGGTCATCAGAATAGAGCACTGCACTAAAATCCCTACCTATTTAGAGAGATTCACAAAACAAACGGCCAGCAAGAAACCCACAGTTAAGATAAAACACGTTTCGTGATAACTGAATGCCATTTCTCAATGTAGGAATGGAAGAACGAATATTGACGGAAGATATGGTAACAGTCGTGGTAAATATTTACATGACTCCCACGTTTCTCTGTTACGGTATTGGCACGTGATTACTGTAACCAGGGTTAGTACAATCTACACGATATTGAAAAATGCATAAATGAACTCGCGACGTTAAAGTTATTGGACCCATATTACATTTGGGTGGGTACTATTATCAATCAACCTTTCAACTTACTTTCAACCATCATAATGCCATTTTCGCAATTTTAAAAATGTTCCTATCTGAATGAGTGTACCATCATTCAAAAGCCAATAGAAATGTAAACCACATCTACCATATCCCAAGAACCGAAAAATGAGAGGTTAATAAATCTCTCACAAACTGCGGAGTTCCAGCAGTTTTTCAAGGGAAAACATTCATTTTCCTACCGCCTACCTTGTTTTTGAATGAAGACAGTTTCCTGCATCTTCGAGAGATTGCTTACTTTGATGGGCTATTCAAATCACACTAGATGCGTAAAGAAAGTATCCCAACATGCAGCTTGCTCTGCAGCGCTCCTATACAATTCGACACAGCGGCGCGTCCAGACCTCTACTACTAACACATGTTCAATGGCAGTGGTAGAATATCGTAGATTAATGGTTTGGCTGGGGCAATAAGAAATCACGCCGTAGAATATCCGCACGGAGCCCATACTAGCAATACAATACAGTACACAAAGCAGGTGAACGACTGTCTCCATGCTAGCAGCTATTATACCGGTGTCTTCGGTAATTTTCTTCTGGTCGGGGAAGCGGGAGCTTTCTCGGTCTCAGCGTCTGCAACAGCATAGACTGAGTCAAGAACGGTTCTAATACAAAAGTTGTCTTTTTTTTTTTGTCGACCTTACAATGACACATCGTGCACTTTTGTAGCAAACGCATTTCCGTGCGCATTTAGAAATTTATAAAATCTAGTTAGTTACAGCAATAATTTTTGCTCTTCTCTACCCTGCTTTAAAAAATGCATACGCATGTTTTGATATATATGCAGAAAAAGCATCACACTACAGAACCACCGTCTCGTTCCAGCTCGTGATGAAGGGAACGAGGGCTTGACAGTGAGAAAATGAAGACGCCCATAAGCGGGTTAAAGCTTTAAGCGATAGGATGGTCAATAACAAAGAGAAAAAGATACTACAATGCTACGATGCTACAAAATATACACGGGAAAATTAGTTTCGTGATTCGCTTTTCGATCGCAAGGTTCGCATTTTAAGAAACAAGGAGGTGACGATTAATGTTTTCGCGCAGATGGTGAAACTGGAACGAAATGTGAAGTAAAGTGCCTAGAAGACAGTCATAAAAAATGGACAGGCTTGTGCGGTTCGGAGAAATGCCAGAGTTGAGGTGGAAATGGAAGACTGAAAGATGAAAAAAATACGATTTAAACTTGACACTCACCAGACACCAGACGCAACTCACCAAGGCTCAATCCCAGTTGCTCTCCCTGTCCACTCTTGCGAGGACCTGAGGAGTAGCCGGCTGGGTCGTCGAGAAAATCACACATTCGCCTGCAAGAGAGGAGACGGTTAAACCTCGCTTGACGGGTATTTCGGAGGCCAATCTAGGAGGAGCTGGCTTACAGGTCCGAGCAGTGTTCTACGAGGAGTTCGGCGACGTCCCCAGTGCGGTCCATGACAGAGCACACCTCCTCAAAGCTGCGGTCCGTCAGCGGCACTCCTCCCCACTCCAGCACCTAGAACAAAAGGTATAAGTGTTTCCGTCGGGACTCCGGGCGGTAGAGGAAAGACCCGCCTATACGGTATCCCGAGATCGTCAAAGAAGACCAGACAGCTACTAAAATGAAGTGTAACCAAGCCAACATGACAAGGCTGTTCTCGACACCGACCTTGTCCCCCTGCTGCAGGCCCCCTTTCTCTGCCGGTCCTCCAGGAACTGTCCACACGATGTAGGCAAACAGACGGCCATCCGGCCCCGACTTGCCACCCACAACTCGCATGCCGAAGCCCCTCGCTGAAAACACAAAATACCATCATTTAAAAAAACTATTTGATTAAAAACAAAAATAGCTCTGCTATGACTTTTCGGTTTAGGAATCTATTCCTGCGGTCCACTTCGCGGTTCGAACGAACGGGCGCACTGTCTTCGTCATAACCTCATAAAACTGCAGTAATCCCCGGAATTCTCTCATCAAAATCGACCTTGGGCCGAAGGCACCCACCCCCACGTAGGAACGCCCCCTCCCCCCTTTTGCCTCTGAGCAGCGAGAGCGCCCTCCCCGCTGATGCCCCCCGGGGAGCCCGGCAAAGCGATCCACGCCCAGCGCGTTAGCCTGACAGATGAATGAAACCGAGAGAGACGACTAGATCGGAGAGAGGCGCAACCAGCGCGCGTTAACGCGTGCCCTCCAAAGAAGGTAAAACAAAAGGAAGAAGAGACTATAGAGAAAAGAGCATGAACGTCCCTTGCCGTACAGAGGCCTCATGTAATTTGACTTTGTTTTTAAACACGTTTCTCCGTTTTCCTGCGAAAGGGGGCTGTTTGTAGCCAGCCTACTTTATATGCTCTGGCCCTTGATTTCTAAACTGCCGCACATCTGGTAGTCCGGACGGGCTCGCGGCTCGCGCCCTTATAAGCATAAAGCGAACGCAGAGAGGGATAGTTGGCTCGCGGGCCGGCATCTCTGCAGAGCATGCTCTCCACCACCGCCGCGGAGCGCGCGCGCACGCGGCGAGGCCATTCTGGCGTTAAACCAGTCGACGCGTTAAATTTAAAGCCGCACTCGTCTTCCCCGGCGGCTGCGGCGCGCGCTTGCGGAGGTGCCGGAGGGAATAGACTAATCTTTAATGTCTCTCCTTCCAGGCCGGGGCCTATCACGCCGCGCGGTGGAACTACGCTGCTTACGTAGTTTGCAAATTACATTCCCTCCCTTCCCCACGTGGGCCCCGCGTAGCCCCGCGTAGCGCCGCGTAGCCCCGCGTAGCGCCGCGTAGCCTCGCGCCCAGGCCCCAAACTACCGCTTGCTCCTGATGACATTATGATATTCCCCGCCCCTTCCCCGCCCCTCTTTCCTGCTAATAGTCGGGCCGGCCCCGTCCCGCCGCCGCGACGCGTGCCCGGGCCCTGCGCCCCGGGCGCCCCGCGAGGCTCCGCGCGGGTGCAGTAAGTACCTGTGCGGGGCGCGGCTTATGGCGGGGGAAGGTCGCCCACACACACGGGCCCCGCGGGGGGGGGGCACACTGAAAAACAGGCCCGTCCCCTGCCTCGACAAATAAAGGGAAACTTGCGTCGAGGCGCTGTCCTGCACTGCAACTTACGCGTGCCAAGCCAATCGTCCGTGACAAACGGCGTCACTTTAAATGGGTTGGCTTCTTTTGACGCAAAATTATTGGCGTCTAATGACGCCAAATTGTGGCGTCCCGACGCCAAATCCTAAAAGCCGACAAATTTTGGCGTCATAAGACGCCAACCCATTTACAGTGGTCTTAGGGATCATCTAGAAAGTGCGTTAGCCATTTGCCGTTATGGAACTGCTCAGTTCATCCAACGGAAGCTGTCATAGCGCCTGATCGGTAGGCAAAATCTTGCATGCAGTGCACGCGTGTACTGCTGGATAGCCTACCCTGATTTTCGCAGGCGCTAACCTGCTGTAGTTTGCCAAACGATTTTGAGAAAAGCGGACGTACTTTCTGGACGACCCCTCAAGGTCCGCGCGCATATGCGACAGGGGAGCGGTCTCGCTCGGTGTGCGGCAGGCGAACGGGGCGATTCAGCAAGCTGGTTACACACTAAGTGGATTGTGTCTCTTAATTTGAACGAGTTTCTGCGTTGATTTAAACTCGTTTGTGCATTCATTTGCCGAGACCATGCAATTTTGCGCACAAATTTGTACAGAAAGAAATGCAGGTTTAACTTAGCACGAATGTTTGCACAAAAACAGATAAATACATTTAGTATGAATGTCCTACGGGGTATCCTCTCGACAGAAACACTGGCATAAAAGTTTTCAAGCGGAAATTCTTGGTGAAACAGAACGTTCGACTCGATCCTTTCTTTTTCTTGCCTTTTTTTCACTCTGCCGGTGAGTGATTTATTTTTATCGAGGGCGGACCACCACCACCACCATGGGGTTGCAGGGCGACGCGGGGCCTCCGGGGTCACAATAGCACAATAAAGAGGGAGCCCGAGGGGAGGGGGGGGGGGCTGGCCGCGGGCTGGGCTCCGGCCCGCCTGTTGCTCTGGGCGGCGCCTCCCCGCTACGCCCCGCCAAGCACTACACCACTTCACTACTTACTCCGGTGCGCCTTGTCCGAAGGGTCTCGCCGAAGCACCACTCTCCGCTTGCTAGCGCCGCCGCGAGCACCTGAAACAAGAACGGTTTACCCATTGGCGTACAGGAGAAAAAAAATAATCAAAAATACCCCCTCTGACCGGAGCGCGAGTACGCAAACCCGCATGCATAGAAACACAAAGTTTTACGGAAATTCTAGAAATTGGTTATATGTGTAAACTCTTTTGGGGAATAGCCAAAGGCTACAGGTTTGGAGATGTTCGCAGTAAAACAAACCCATGACGTTAAGTAATGATGGTGGCTGGTAACACACCCATCTCACCTCACCTGCCTGTCAGGCCAGGTAAAAATATAGTCCACCTATTCTTTCCTTTTCCGCGAAATAATGATGATAAAACATGTATGTCCTCAAAACATTATTCCTGGCCCCGTTTTCCCACGATGAAAGTGTGTTAGTGTGCACTCGGCTCGTCTGTTCAGAACCTCGAGCCGTTGCAAAGAGGCACGCGGCTTGCGAGTCCCTCGACTCAAAGTTCGGGCAGCGAGTCAGGCGCCCCTCTGCAGCGCCGCCCACTCGCAAGGTCCTGATCCTTACTGCATCCCCGCTGCATGCACACTCTCGCGGCTCAACAGCAGCAGCACCAGAGCGGTCCCACTCGTTCCGCATGGGCCGAAATTTCCGGGCCCACAAAATTTCCCTCCGCGAAACTCGCAACTTCCCTCTTTCTCCCCGCCGCGGCAGAAACTTTGCTTCGCCGAACAACTGCCCAACTCCCCGCCGGCGCCGACTCTGCTGCTCTGGGCATGGCATTGTGGGGGGCAGGGGCTGGCACGGGGGCGGGGTCGGCGGAGGCGCAGCCCCGCCAGCGACGCCAGCGCGCGGCCACTTGCAGCCAGGCACATTAATACACTGAATGGGGGCGAGCAGTCGCCCCGGGAGGCGCACGGGCGACAATACCGTGACGCAGCGCCACGCAAAACAGAACGGCGGAGATATTTCGACCCACCGCGCCCCGCCCCGCCCGCCCGCCCCGACGGGGGCGCGTCGAGCGGCACTCCCCCTCTCGCGCCCTGCCGGTGGGCGTGGTGGGGCGGGGCGGGGCCGGGGGCGCTACAGGGGCACTGGGCGGGCGCGATAAGCGAACGGAATGGCACTCGACTCACCAAAGTTGGGCTCCGAGTCCACGTCGTGAATGACGATCTTGATGGCCTCCCCGTCGGTGACGGATGTCTGGCGCCGCATCCTCTCGGCGTCCTGGGCGTCCTCGACGGCCACGGGCGGCACGGCCACCATGCCCGGGACGGCGCGGTGCGGGTGCGCGACCGGGGGCACGATGACGCCCGCGAGCGGGACCACCCCCTCGGGCCCGCCCGCCCCCGCCTTAGCCGCCGCTCGTATCTTGTTAATGTCAGGCCTGGAACAGAACACAGAGTGTCACTCGGCAGTAAGCACCGCGGTCTCGCCCTTCCCCTCCACTCCCGCTCCCCGCTCCCCGGCCTGCTCCGGCAGCGCCGCGCGTCCCCTAGAGACATCAATTATGCAGTTATAGCATCGCGTCTGGGGTCAGCAGCGCGGCCGGAGCAGGGCGAGAGGGAACAAGACCGAGAGACCCCGCGAGCGAGTCCCAGCGGCGGCAAGAGGGAAGGAGGAAAAAGGCTGAAGACAGCTGCTGCTGCTCCTCCGCATGCCGGTCGTCTTCTGGTAGGGGGTTTGCCCCCGGCCCGCCCGCCCCGATACTCACAGCTGCGAGCCGCGGCGCCGCGTCCGCCGCTCCTCCTCAGGGTGCACCTGGATGGTGTCGGGGCCGTCCAGCCCCGCCGCTGCAACAGACACGGGGGGCGCTTAGCTATCGGCAATGCGATGAGTAAGATGGATGGATGGGGGGCGGCGGGATTGAGAGCCGAGAGTGAGAAGAGAGGGGGGAGAGAAGAGAATGTCGATGAGGCGCGCCAGAGTGATGATAGTCATCGCGGCGCTCAGGGCAAAGAGGCGAAAAAAAAAAGGGCGGGGGAAAAGATGGAATACATTTACGAGGACGCCGCGCGCGGGCGGGCGGTGAAAGAAAATAACTCCGCCTATCTCTCCGAGCGCTGCTTCCCTCGAGCGCGCGATTCTCGCGGCTGCTTACCCGAGGGGTCGTCGGGCTTCCTGAACGATGCGCGGCGCCCCGAGGGCTCCGGCGGGCCGGCCGCGCCGCCGGGGCCGCCCCTGGCCGCCGCCTGCAGCGCCGCCGCCATGGCCTGCGGGGAGAGGGCGCCGCCCGTCTGGTACACGTCGTAGGCCGAGGCCCGGCGGGGCAGCTGGACGGGGAGTCCTGCAAGAAACATGAGAGGGACTCGTGAGCTCGACCTCCACCGGCATCACACGCCAACAGACACCAGCAGCAGACACCCACCGAGGCCGACCTCGCCGGCGCCGCCGGGGCCGCCGGGCGCGCCGCCCGCCTTGATCTCGTCGTCGTAAGAGTGCTGCTTCTGGACGCGGGAGCGCCGCCGGCCGGCCGCGCCGTGCGCCGCCCTCCGCCGCCACTCCTCGCCGGGGTCGCCGTCATCCTGGCCGCCGCCGCCGCCCGTTGTCTGTGGGGACGCCGCCCGCGACCCGCCGCCCGGCGACACGCCCCTCTTGTTTTGCCGGGCGTCCGGCTCCCACTCGCTGCCCCGGCGCGAGCCCGCCACCTGCAAAAACACAGCGTTAGTCTCCAAGGTTACACGCGTGGGTGTCCGTCGAGGAGGTTGGAAGTGGTTGGGAGACGTCGTCGCGCGGAAGGAAGCCCAGGTAATAAGACAAAGTGTAGGAACAAAGGAGGAGCCCGGGAGGTACGGTGGTGGTGCGGGGAATCCTGGGCGGAGCATCGTCGTGTCGCAGCCTGCGCAACCACACCAACCACCGCGCCTACCCTCGGCGGCTACCCCCTTCATTGTCCCTGCGCTGTTGTACTTGAGCCCTGAAGCTTGACGTTACCACGCCGCCCACCCACGCCGCGCCACGCCCTGGCAAAGCTGACGGGGGCTGACGGCACGGGGCTTACGTGCGGTCGGGAAAAGCGGGATGCGACGCGGCCGTAACATAGCCCGGCACTCTCTCTCTCTCTCCCTCCATCACACAGGCAGCAGACACACGCACACCGCTCGCGCACTGACGGAAACACGAACACATTCGCAAAACACCTACACAACCGCACACTAAGTCCCTGCTTGTTCCTCGTCAGTCAGGAGGGTGAAGCGTTTCCAATTTCTCACAATTTGCACCCCTAGAGGCTCACCTTGCCCCCCGCGCTTTCTCCTCGATTTAAGAGCGAGGGTGCGGGAGGTAGAGAGGGAGAAAGGAAGAGCTGAAGAGAGATTGAGCGAGGGAGAGAGATGGGGTGAGATAAAGATAGGGGGAGAGAGAGAGTGAGAGATGAGGGGGATAAGGGGGATGGAGGGGGATAGATAGAAGGGAAGAGATAGAGGGTGTGAGAAATGGGGAGTGAGAGACCCACCCCTTTCATGGAACACTCCAGGATGTAAGACAAGTCCCATCAGAAGCTGTAAACCCGCAAGCTGCTTTGCATATATACACTGCACGCACGCCACACGCGGAGTTGAACGTCCCCGCACGACGGCATCTTTGCACTGGACGAGCCGAACCCCGCGCGCGCACGACCTCACCTGCCGCTCCCCAGAGCGCTGTAAAAGGCTAGGGTCGTCAGGCAAGGCACCGGGAGGGTCGCAAGGGGGGGGGGGGGGGGCTATGGGATGCAGCACCTGTTAGCACAGAGCGGCCCCCCCCGGCCCGGCAGGTTCCGCCACCCAGCGGCGCTTTGCTCGCTCAAGATGTGTTCAAAGGGACAACCCGACGGCACTACAGACAACAGTGGGGCTCATTTGCAGGAAAACACCATCCAGGCGCGGTGGGTAAATGGCGGGGCGGGAGGAGCAAGTAAACACTCGGAGGGGCTCGGGACAGACGACCGGAGGCCCGACGATGAGAGCAACAGGAAAATCCAGAGTAGAACCTATTTTTTTGTCCCGGTGCTCTGCTACCAGGAAGCGTCATCGTTGTTAGAAAGCGTGACTCGACTCACATGAATCTTGACCTTCTCCAGCTCCTTTAGCGAGGCCGGCGAGACGTCCGAGTGGCGCCGGAGCTCGGGTGACCGTGGCGGGGCTAGCCCCGCCCCCAGCCCGCCGGCGCCGGCCCCCGCGCCGCCCCCGGGCCCGCCCCCTGGGGTGAGGCCCGAGCTGCCCCCGAGCTTGACGTCGCTATGGCGCCGCTGCAGCGACTCCACGACGGGCAGCTCGAGCGACGTCTCCATGGAGTCCTGCGCCTGCACCTGGGCGCGCGACTGCAGCTTGCGACGGCAGATGGAGCAGCGCCATGCCTGCCGACAAAGAGAGAGAATCATTAGTTGCATTCTTGCACATTTATATGAGGCAGCTGCCCTTTCAGAGGAACAATAGCAGCGACAATCTAGCAGAGGTTAGGTTGCGTTGCGTGTCTTGAGGTTACAAACAGTTTTCAAGGGGCTTATACATCTAGAACTTTGGTATGACCTTTACCAAGGTTTACTTCGTCAATTGAGTCATCGTTGTACCCATGCACACTAACCTAGACAACGACACCGGGACGGTTTTGAAGATTGTGCTAACTTACTTTTACAAAGCCAAAATTTGCAGTTCCCCTACATTTTCACATTTTACGAATTCTAAAAAACTTAGTTTATCGAGAGCCGATGATAACACACCCAGTCGCTGCAAAACACAGTAAGGTCGCTTGCGTTCAGTTTTGTTTAGGGACGGTACTACGCCACACACACCACCTCCTACGGGCTGCCTTCTTTGTTCCTCCCTTTCGGGCAGCTTCCTCGTCGTGCCTCGCCGCTGTGCCGGACTTACTCTCGGAGCGATTAATTTAGATTTTAGAAAAGTTAATGTTTTCCCGAATTAGCAATATGAAAGTGCAACAAGAATATGTCCAGTCCCGCCGCAGCGTCGCTTGAGTTCCGTGGTTCCGTGACCTGACTCTCTGCCTCTCACGCTGTAGTAGTCGTGCCCAGCCCAGTGCGAGTGCAATGCGAAGTGTAACAAGTGCTTCCTTCTGACGGCTCAGCGTTCCGTGATTTCCGAGTCGTTCTCCCCATCCAGCGCTCAGCGCACGTCTAAAGGTAAGAACCAACAAGAGAGGAAATGTAAATTTGTGACACGCCAAACTTCGTTATGCTGTATATGCCGGAGAGACCGAGGCCAGGTAGCCTAACCTCAAATCCTCAACACGGCACAACCTCGGTATATCTTGAAAAGTGTGGGGCAAGGCGGGGCGATTATATATGCTGTAGGTCTATCATAGATTGATTTGGGCAATCGTCACACTAATAAAGCATCGCGTAGGAAATTAGCCTGGATTCGTTTTGCATTTTTCAACGTAAAAGAGCTTTTGATGATGCATGCCGCGCACGACAAGTGAGGTTATGGGGTTAGTTGCCGGTCGCCAGCAGGTCGAGAGAATGAGTTGTTGGGCCCTCCTTTAGAGCAGCACTATTTTTTCGCTGGGAAGACTATGAGCTTCGAGAGAATGTGGACATTCTCTGGTGGTGTACTCGACCGTTCTTACAGTTGAGTTGTGCCATGACTTGTCGCTGTTCTCATCTCTCTTTGGGAAAGACGCCCGGGGACGGGGGACGGGTGGGTGCAGGCAGCCAGCGAAGAGGCAGGGCAGGCGGCGGGTGCCAGGCCATGCCCGTGGTGGTGGTGGTAGTGCTGGTGATGGTGGTGTTTGGCCGCTCCCCGAGGAGGGTTCGGCAGCCCGGGGGAGGCGGGGGCGCAGAGGG